TTGTGACCACTATCTTCTGGTGTAAATTGTAAATAAATGGCTGCAAGTGATCGTATTTGAAGTACATCTCAATGGACAAGTAAATCTTGGGATGAAACCAGCATCAGCCAGGACATATCTAGACCCCAAACGAAATGCATTCGGAACTTACCTTCTCAGAGGAGAGCTCGGCTTCAGGTTTGAAGAGAAAGACACTCTGGTCAACGGCATGGATGGCACAGAGAGAACCGGGGAAGGCTGAAAGATGGAGTTGGGCTTTCTGGCCAGGCAGACCTTCTTGATCCGAGAACCACAGTTTGGCCTGTAAACATAAACTGGATCTTTGAAAAGGACACTTCCACTTGGTGTGGAATGAATGGAAGGAGAATGAATGGAATGAAGTCATCCTTGTTGTCATGCATATTGTAACATTGAGTTGCCCTCTGTGACTAACCTGAAGCCACAGCTTGATAGGCTCAATGGAACTACTGGCTGATCCCCCACCCCAAATAGGCTTGAGTTGATTTCCAGTTTGGCATCATTGTGACACAATTGTAGGAACTAGGGCTCAGCTAACCTAGGCTGAACTCTCTTCGTTGGGGGACCCTTAAAGGGCTAAAGTCACCTTGGAGAGGTGACGAAGAAAGGAGGGACGCCTCATAGATCGCAGAGAGTCACAACTCTCCTGCTTGATCTGAGGCTTATCCTCCTTTCCAGCAACGAAGAAGGGATATTTATGATATTGTTTTAATTGAAATATTAAAATGGAGAAGAGAGGAAGGCTAGAAATAGAGTATCTACCAACATAAGGTATGGGATATTAAGATATAGAGTAGAGGTAGAAATTAGAAAGTGGGGGGGAGATAATTATGCATATTTCTATACAATATGTTACAATTAGTGGGTAAATGAAAGGACCAGAAGTTGAAAGATGGGTGTATTATGTACAATGTTATTATAATAATGTGAGTAGGATTAATGTAATTAAGGCTATCAAAATTGTTAAAAAGAAAAAAGGCTTAAGTTTAGCTGATGTTTCAGGTTTTCTTTCCATTGCCATTTGGTTATGACCCACTGAGATACCGGCATTCAAGGGAACAGGTCTGGCCAGGATATAACTGATTCAGTGGTGGGATTCAAAAAAATTTATTACCAGTTCTGTGGGTGTGACTTGGTGGGCATGGCAGGGGAAGGATACTGTAAAATCTCCAGTCAGAGGTAGTATTTGCCAGTTCTCCGAACTACTAAAAATTTCCACTACCGGTTCTCCAGAACTGGTCCGAACCTGCTGAATACCCACCTCTGAACTGATTACATCAGCCTGGACAAGCAGATAGCAAAAGGGTAACTCAAGAGCTATTTCTGAAAGGATCAGAAGCAAACAAGGCTTTGTGGATATTAGCGCCAGTAGAGTTGAGGAGCAGCAGCTTAGAGAAGACCTGTTCTGGATCATTAAGATTCTGCCTTTCTTTAACAGCACAACACAAAATGTACAACTTTACCTTGTGGGAGAAGCACGTTTCTACGGTGAAGTCTCTCAAGCCAGCAACGAGTTCTCCACTGGGCAAAATGGTGTAGAGGAGCAAGTGGATCTTGGGAGCAGTGTCGACATCCACCAAGAGATTCAAAAGGAAGTCCCCTTTGGTTTCTAAAGGATGAAAATCCCAGGTGGAGGAAAGAGAGAGATCAAAAGAGACATATAAATTTTGATAGATGGATGGATGGATGAAATAAGTTCCAGTTGGAATACATCAGACTTTACCAGGGTGATCCCAACAGGCTGGGAAATGTGAGTCAAAAATGGATCATTGAAGAATCAGGAGCAGAAGGACTTTAGCTGCTGTTTTCTTTTCAGATGTGAGGGTTTGCCTTCTCCTCCACAAGAACTTTTAGGTTTGTGGTCGGAATGATCAAATTAGTGGTCTCTCTTGTTTCAGGGATCCATGAAACAGCAGGTGAGCCTACCTGCAGTAACCTCTCCCACTGCACAGGAGAGCAATGGACATAAAACAGGCCCTGTGGCACACACCAGAGTCCTTCAACCCTTTGCCATCCTAAAAACACCAAACGCTGCCTCAGACCCAGGAGTCAGTGCTGTTAGTAGTGCCTTCCCATGGCTCTCCAAGGTTTCTGGAAACCCTGGATTGATCTTGGGGTCTTCTGTGTACCAGGTGATTGGGAACTCAATCCCATTCTCTATCCTTCATTCTTCCATTTTGCATGTTTTTTTTTAATCCCTGAAAACAAAGTCACACCCAACATGCCATCCTGCTGACTACAAGAGACTGAGCCCCTAATCCTCTGTGGGACTCTAAGAAGGGCCTGTCCCAGAGGAAAAAGCATAGGCATCTGGGCAGCCTTCTACTGTAGTTGCAAAGAGACATCACTGGGATGCCCAGCAAAAAACTCAGGATGAAGGAAGTGACTGCAGAGATTTGGGAGAAATAGCCTGTTCCTACCGCTTGAGTGCATCCCTTTCCTCTGCCCAATGGCATGGCTGGCTGTGGGTGTGCCCAGCTTCCATGCCCTGCCAGTGTGAAATCAGATATAGTGAACCCAGCTGTGAATGGGAAAAGGTTTTGGTGAATGGGAGAGGTTTTTCAGACATACAAGGGGTACTCAGCATTCGGCAAGAGAGAACTAGATCCCCATAGATGGAGACACCCCTGGAACATCTGGGAAGCTTTTTGCCAAGCAGGAAGGGGAGAGTGTAATTTGGAGGGAGAACATTTACCTGTTCCCTGTTCCACTGGCTGCCTGTGTGTCCCTGTTCGGATGATGTCCCCCTTAGCCTTGACCTGCAGGGAAAGAAGAAATTCCTGCTAGATGTGCTAGGACTTGGAGAAATTGATTCATTAATTGATTGATTGATTGATTGATTTGCAACTCTGAGCACTGGCTGTCATGTTAGATATATGGAACCCTAGAATTGTGAATTGTCTAGTTTGACCTTTAGATTGAAACAATAATAATAATTCACCCATGGCGTTAATCAGGAATCTGGTGAATTTGATGATTGTCTGAAGGGAACATATTTTGAGATGGCAAGGCTAAAATTCAGGCCTAATGGAGGCCTTCATGGCCTTGGAAAATCCCAAAGGAAAAGACTAACTAGCCTGTGGATTAAGCATGTGACCCAAACCACAGAAGGCGTGCTTGACTATTTTTATTATTTCTATATCTTTACTACTGTATGCAAGCTTCCCCTTATGTACCCAACCAAAAGCAAAGAAATGTATAAATATCTGCCTCACACTGTGTTTGGGATTGCTCCACCTTTAGGGAGCACCATCTTTATTCAGCTGAATAAACATGTTTGCCTTATCAAGACTAATCCGGATTCTGTCTTTTATTTTTTACCGAGTCACACCTGCAATCCTGCATAACAATGGAATTGCAGTATGTTAGTTAGCAGGTACAAGATGTGGCTAAAGCAATTGTTCTGAAGTATGCAACTCGGGACAGTGCCAAAGGAATTGAGAAGCTGAAATGTTACATCTAGACAACGTTGAAAAA